CTAAAGTATTTCCAGAACTTATTTCTAGGTCAATTTGCTGCATTTACTCAGCCAAAGGAAGGTGTTCCTGCAGTACACGCTCTACTAATCCAGCTTTTGTGTAAAGACTTCCATTTACAGTCTGTGCCACTTCTACCAATCATACAGATTTCTTAGATGCCTGGACTGGCACTTGGGTTGCCAGGTTGTGTAAACTCCTGCATACTGAATTTCGACTGCTTTTTGTACCCTCACCAGGCACCTGACCTGGCACTGGCAACCAGACATTCACAGGGAAAAGGAATACCTTCCTCCTGCTCCATAGGAATTAGCCTCTGATGGGGAACTAACTGCACTTAAATCGAGCACTTAAAAATAAACTGAATGGTGTTGTTTTCCCAGGCTTTACAGCTAGGCATGTGTGCTGTGCTTTTATGAAATACTGTTCTTCAAACCGTTTAAACAAATTCCCACTCTATGGAGAGATCTGCATTAGCTTCAGAAAACACATAAAGAATCAAAAAAGGTCAAACTTGCCCATTACTGGATTCTGGGCAAGACAGCTGCCTTCAGTTGCATTTCTTTAACAGAGGGAAGAACTTGACTGGTTCATTAACACAACAGTAGTAATGAAAAAAATACCAGACACCTTCGTCCCATTAGGCATTTTAGCAAAAACAGACCAAAGGAAAGAGGGAGAGGATGAGGAAAGAAACTAGACTGGCAGAGGGTGTGTTGGTCATGGGTAAGGTCACAAAACATGAAAAACCCACCAATTTTAACATGCAGAGGACATTGGGACATTGCAACGCTGGTTATGGTTAAAGAGACCGTACAGCTCCTACATCTTTGTCCTTGAGGCTTCATTAAAGTAAGACTCACAACTTCAAGTCCATCAATCAAATGGAAATGACAGTCGTGCTGTAAAAACATAGGTAGAAAAATAGTGCAAAGCCAAGGGTTGGACACCCTATAATCTGTCACAAGTACCCCAAAGCACTACCATTAGTGCTCTTAAAGAAAACACACACAGAAAACATTCTTTATTTATTATAAATGGCAGTTGTCTGCATTGCACTCTCTATTTAGAATGTACTGATTACCTTTGTGCTTCCCTTCAAAGCTGTGGATGAAGAATAAATAGAGCCTTTCACACTGGTGAACACTGCCTGCCCTCCAGTCAGGACTGGTAGCAAAGTCAGACAGCATTTATAAAAGAAATCAATTAAAAAGGAAAACAGACAGCATCATTTAAGGCCTTTGTCCTTGCTAGTCTGCTCAGCAGACCACACTTTCTTCTTAAAAGAACAACACCTAC